GGCCCATCGTTATGAATTAAAAAAATATATCACTATGATTTCCTAGGAAAACCACGTGGAAGTCAATCTGACCCCATTACTATCAATCCCTTTTCCCTGCAATGGTATCTAATAATGATAATTAAGCATAATCTCTATGAATTTATCAATAAAACATTGCAAAAGTTTTCTTGTTCTACTGGAAACGAATAAAGCCGTATGAAACAGCTAGTGAAGTACATATGAGAATGTTTGAGCACCTACCCTTCATAGCCTCCGATATCAGAAAGGCTCTACACAGCGGGGCATAAATTTATGGCCTACTCAGCGTATGCCAGAACCTGATTGTGGTATCAAAGTTTCTTTTTACTGAATTCCTTAAAGTTTTTTTTAGAGAGTTCCGTACCTATACGAATAAACTAACTTTTGCCCGCGACTTTCGTGCGTGTGGATTTTGAAAGTAGAAAAATAAATGGCATAAATCACTTCTAAAATAGCGTACTAAAATATAATTTCAGATTGTTTTCCACAAAAAAAGACATCAATTGTGATAATACCAGTTGTTTTAATTTAAAAACTAAACTACTGGACTATTTTTCATAAAATTTCAATAGACCACTCTGCACTTTAAAACAAACAAAAAAAAAAACTTAATTGACAACCTCCTTGTTTTCGAAGTTGGTTGAAAGCGTTTGAAATCTGGTGTAGGTTTTATATGCGACTTTCAGGAACACAGCGGTGAAAACTGCATCCAATTTGGTAAAATAGTATTTGCGTGATCTCGAAATAAACTTACAGACAGACAAAAATACTAAAAACTATTGTTTGGATTTCTAGTGCTCTTATTAAATCATCTTCAACACACAAATACTTCGTAAATATTATAACCGTACTTTTAGCCATGACCAAACGTTTAATCCAATTAAATTCAAAATTAAGATGTTTTTGAAATATGTGTAATTTCTTTTTGAATATTTCTCTTATTAAATTTCCACATATAAATTAGACATTTAGTATAGTCAACTTACAATTCTATTAATCTTTATAATAAAATGTTAGAAGAAAGAGCATCGAGCCTCAAAAATGGATCAACTTTTTGTCAACCAATTGTCAAATTAGCTGACTCGTTTTTTTTTTTATCAATGTCTAATAGAAATACACATAAAAATGTATCTTGACGTATTATTGAATAAATAAAATGAGGGTTTACCCATCAAAAAGATGAAGAAATTATAAGACAAAATAAATATAGAAGTTATATAAGAATCACTCGTAACAATTTTTCACGCATAATTGTATGAAAAAGTTGACCTGCTTTTCTCAAAGCATTTCTATAGAGATTATCTATATAATCTAAGAATAAAATATATATAATAAAATTGTAACTTGATTATAAGATTAAAGATGTTAGCACCGAGTGTTCTCTGCCTATCCTATTAGGATCTAAACTGCAGATATACAATTACGCAATGATATTGACAACATAAGATAAATAGACAATAGTTAAAACTAAAGATTATCATAAACAATACACAACTATTTGCGACCCCATTAGGTTATTAGAAAGGAGATTGCGAAAGAAACATGATAAATGATTACTTGTTACGTTCACAGTATGACTAACTTGGTTTGTTCTTGCAAAACAACGCCCTCGGAATTTTGTGAGATAAATAAATCAATCATAGAGACGAGTACATTCCTTTGAAATATATACCATGACGTCACATGGTAATCTCATAAGTTGGGGGTAAGGGATTGTTATTATTATTACGGACTACCAGTCCCATTGCTAACAATATACCCTATCAGGTCGACCTCCATGTGATCTCGCTTATAACAATCGTGCTAAATTTCAGAAGTATTAATTACGATGGAGTAACTGACTTGCCCTTTCATTCTCACTTGTCATCCCTCAATGGTTACCATTCCATTATAATGCAAAAAAATCCTAACTTTCAAGTTAAATTTTTATGTACTGATATATTTATGTATGTAATGATGTGATAATCATTGGTGTGGATATTTAAGCTTTTCCAATAGGGAATATGGGAGAAGAGGTTGGCCCTAAAAAAAGGGTATATCGACACTCCAGTCATAGCTGAAAGATATGCTCTTGATCCCAGGATTCTGATCCTAGAATCAGATCTCTTTACATATAAATTAATATGTATAGATTAATGTAAATCAACATTAATTCCCCATTTTTGGGTTTGCTCAAAGAGAACTCTTGTAGAGTTAAACTCGCCTTTGTACATTTGCTTACTTCTGTCGTGTTTTTATGTGTCATTAGTATGTACAATAAAGTATAAATAAATAAAAATAACGACGGTTTTCAGAATCGTCCTGATGTATATTGCTAGTGTCTATATTTTTTTTAATGGATGATAATAGAATGGTAATCCCACTTACGCTATCGTTATAGGTACATTGCCAAGGCACCAGTGACGAATGATAAATGAAGATGAAACAGGTCAATCAGTTTCAAAATTCACCAATTTCACAAATTCACCAATGAATCAATCACGGTGGTTTCTAGGGGGAACCGCGAAGAGGTCGACCTAATAAGGTATATTGCTATTAATAGGATTGCTAATCCCCATTACTAACAATTCCTTTTCCCCCCGTAGTGGGGCTGTTGAACCTCAATACTAACAATTCCTTCCCCCCATCCCCCACCCCCACGCTATTGGTTTCTACTGTCGAGTCCAGTGAGGAATAATAGGGAAGGTCAGATCAGTTGGTACAACGTCACGAATGCACCAGGGCCAGGAATTGACCACGATATTTTCGAAGAGAAACTGCATGGATTTATTATTATTATTATATTGAACGACCTTACTAGCGATCCCCTTTCCCTTTCCATTCATTACATTAGTATATGATGAAATAGTGAACACGCTTTTTATTCAAGGTTGTTATTTTGAAACATAAATACAGGATTTCACACACGCAACATAATCCTCGTTCTCATCAAGTAACCGCCCACTGTATTAAAAATCACATTTTTAAATTTAATGAACGTATTTAACAATTCTGTGGTAATTAATTTGACAACATAATTAAGAAGTAATGGCCTGAGATGTTATCTGTCCGTTGTTTAACACAAGTGAAGCTTAATAAGTAATTAATTAAAACAAATTTTATAACCTTCGGATACTTTGTTTTAGTTACCATAATACCGGTATTGTTTTTACATAAGGTACTAGGTTCACTAGGTGGTCCTGGCATGGAATAGGCCACCCCTTCCTTTCACGTAAGTTTCGTAAGAGGCTACTAAGGGAGAGATGGGCAGCAGTACCCCTCTTAAAACATCTCTAAGGCCTAACTGCGATTGCTAACTCGACTGCCAAGCGTGGCAACTAATGGCAAATCTCCCCAAAGGAAGCCTTATGTTTAGCAGTGGACAGTTAAAAGCTGATATGACGATGATAATGTTTACATATATATGTATGTATAAATATATATATACATATATATGTATATATATATATGTATATATATGTGTATATATATATGTATACATATGGGTAGGTAAGTGTATTTTACAGAACTGTCCAAAAGAAATGTAGTGTTTTTACGGTTCACGTATGTTTATTTTTTCCACCGTAACTTTAAATTCCTTAACAGATTTAGATGTATGGGATATCATTTAAGTCCATACATCATCCTTAGTTATTACTGACTAATTTTAAATAGTTCGTTTTTGACAAGGCCGTCGTGTTTTCTTTTTAGTTTGCGAATCAGAATATATTTGTTTTATAATTTCTTTATTTATTAACTCTTTATAAGGTCAAGTCAGAGAATAGATAAGAAGCAAACCAGGCAAATGCCTTGACCGGTACAATTAGGAGTGACTGTTAAAAATGACAGGAAATATTACTTTTGCTAGATATTGGACTGATCCTCCGCTATGAGAAATGACTACAAGGATACTGTAAATTTTGACCTGCTCCTATATTGTAGAATCGAACCCGGAACCTCATTCTGGCAAAGCAAAACACTCAATCACTATGTTGCGGTGGCCATTATAAATGTTTTATCGTTGTGTTATGAATTATGAGACTGCACTTGTCTAAAGCTTTATTACAATAATAAATTATACGATAGATAACACTCAGAAATAATAACATGAATGGATATGATTTTAATTTTTTTTTTTTTTTACAAATCTGAATATATATTGCTTTTTATCACATGAGACATCCTCCTTGATTAAAAGTGGTTCCTAAGCATCGCCATAGAATAATACTGTGACATCGAACAATTTCATCGAAAATCTCACTCGGAGGTAATCTAGAGCCGAAGGGTCAAACAAAATCTTGTACAGGATGTTTAGGACAGGACATATTACGTTGATACCTTATTGTGAACTAATTGAGTTGAACCTTTTTATTTCATCCTAAGTTTAACACCTTAAGCATTTTATGCCTACCGAAAATTAAGATTTCCGTAAGATTTAGGACTCGCTAACTAACCTTTTACATCTTTCTAAGATTAAGAATTATACAACACAGAAATTATTTTACATACAGCCAGTGTTATAATTTATGGCATTTTTGAACAAAGATCTTTAAACATAAAATTATTACCTGCTTAATTTAGTTAATCATACTTTATTAATCTCTTTTACATAATATATATTAAAAAAACTTATATAATACATAGAGATAGTTACAAAATCGAGAAAAATAACAATATAAATCAATGACAGTTACGTGATAAATATGCTCAGCTTTACCCGTTATTTGTGTATTTTAAACATAAGAAATTCTGCTAGGACTTCTATCACAGTTAAATTTCTATTCTATCTCAATATTGACATAAAAATGTAACAACATTAACATAAAACTGTATATTTTAACAATATTTGTACATAAAAATTGATTTGATTCGATATCGGAATAAAACTAGGTATATTCTCACAAGTGATACCACAGTAGGTAATAAACTTGTAAACATAATAATAAAGACACCAGTACGATGGACATAAAACAAAATAAAAATAAAAAAATGTTACAAACCTTCCATAAAAATTCCAAACATAATTTATATCAAAAGTTTCATATTATTCCACAGCATGTAAGCACTGTCACAAACACTTTATAAAAAGTACAAAATAGTTTCATAAAATATAAAGTAATATTATTATAACACTTTTATAAGCGTCCGTTCAGTAATAAAAAAGTATATCACTAAAAATAAACTCGTAAAAAATTAGTCAATAATATTTAAATCACAAAATCGTTTTTATCTTAAAGACGTCTGAACTCCTAGACGTCCGATGCAAGACTGCCGACTAAACTACAATGCACACTTGAATAAGAGTTATAGCTGTCTCTTTTTAACACTCGAACCGACAAGTGAGCGAGCAGAACAGATATAATGGCATGCATTATGGTATCGTGTCTCGATGTACTTTTTTCCGATTTCTTTGAAGGATCTATATATGATCTATAGATCTTTACAGCGCGTGAGTTATGCCTCCATCCACGCAGTGATTCATTGATACGCTGCCATTCCGTTCACTATAAAATTATAGTATTTGATTTTTTAACTATTATGGTTGGACGGTTGTTTAAAGTTATGGTAAACAAGTTGTAACTGTTATTTGATCAGTGTACGAGCCAAACGTTGGACTTTAAATGAACTTTCGGATATTAATCTATAATTTATTTCTTTAATAATGACCATATGGGTAACTAGCTAGAAATATGAATAGTAGGACAAAAATTCTGCTGATTTAAATATGAATAGTAGGACAAAAATTTTGTCTTGATGAATACCTAATAACTTGAGAGTAAAAATAAATCATTCTTAGAAACAGCACAAGAATATACTCTTTTTACTTGTTATAAAAATAGCGGCAAAAATATCGTGTAACTTACGTCTAAAATTTTTTTTCATACAACTTAGAATGGCAAACAAGCTGACGGCCCACCTGATGGAAAGTGGTAACCGTCGCCTATAGACATGAGCAGTACCATGGACGTAACAGAGTATACTGTTTCGCCCATGATACTTCCCATGCGTTGCCATTCCTGAGGACTCAGGTGTTATTCCTCCGTACCCAGTAAATTCACGCCATATCCCACCCTTCAAACTGAAACTCAGCCATGCAAACACAACTGCTTTACGATTGAAACACGAATGGGACAGAGGTACCCAAGCAATCGACTTTTGTACAAAGTCTCCCTCTGGTACCTAATACTAATGTAAATACAAATTTTTATCAGCAATTTCGTCTGCATAGCCATAACACGTAAGACTCAGGTGTTATTCCTCTGTACCGAGTAAATTCAGTAAATAGTAAAGATTAATGCTTGATATTTTTTTCTATTTTCTTTAAAGATTGCAAAAAAATTATATATAGCATTGTGAAATATGAAGATTCATTTTGAGTTCTATATTTTCAACAAAGATGTTAAAACCCAAAAGAATGTGAGTAAAACTCACTATGTATTTATTGTTTCTTTAATATTTTTTTATATATGTTACTGAACAACAAGCGCTTCTCATTTTGCAGCCATTTTCGTTGTAAGGTGGTAATAAAATGTGCTAAAACGGCAATTTAGATAGTATATACTGTGGTCTTTGCCAAATCTATATGTAAAACAAAACAGTGCGAGTTTATTCCAGTGATGTTTACTTTAACATATCTAGCTATACATATAAAGCATTTTTTATATAAAAACGGATACAATAAAAATATGTCTATGAATCAGTCGTATACATTTAAAAAATATATTATTTCACTTTTTTTTATTGTGATTATTTCAATTATTTATTGTCCATTACTTAACACAAGCCTCGGCTATGGACTGCCACTCTACTTCAATTCTCAGTCGAATTTAACGACACCAGTTTTATTACTATAAAAAGTATAAAATTGCAAACAAGTCGGCGGTCCACCTTATAAAATGTCCTGTCCATCGCCTATAAACATGAACAATATTGTTGTTTTTTTTTTAAATACTTGCCAATTTTTTTACCCGCCTATGTCATGAGAAACAAAACAGCAAACGTCTAAGAGCACAATTCAAATCATCCAGGCCTAAATCACTTCAAAAAGTTTGTTAGGAAAATTGTCATAACCGAGAATTAAATCCTACCTGAGACATTAAGATAAATAATGCTGACTCCCCAATCCTCAAAAAGTAATTCTAAAAACTATATTGGCAATCTTCCCTCCAGATTAAAAATTAAACGCTCAAATTAGAATTGAATTTGATGTACAATTTCCTAGAATTACAATTTTAATTTGATAGTTCAATTATAGCAAATTATTGTAGTATGGACTACTAAGAATTATTAAAACAATTCTAATTGTATTCTACAAAAAATTTGTTTAAACAAGTTCTTAAAATAAAAATTTCGCTGTAATATCAAATTAAAATTTTAAAATTAAGCACAGAGAATGATGCTGCAGAATCTGCTTCATTGCTGCTACAAGTATCGAGGTCAGTGTTTAACCCCCGCTTCTATTAAACCACCAAAATATATAAATACAAAGCAGCGAAACATGTTCTGTCTGCGACATTTACTGCCGTGTATATTTTTATGGAAATTATTATCATAAAACAAATATTATTATATTCTTTTTATACGTATCACAACATATATGTATGTCTAGTTTAAATGCGGTAATTTATGTGTATTTCACATGTTATAATAGAATACAATATATATAAAAAATTACATGGCCAGAACAGGAAATGATGAGATGAATTGAAGAAAACATATTACACCGATCCAAATAGATATGGCAAGATGGCTGGGAGAAGAAGAAGTATAGAATACAATAAATCTTAAATCAAATCAAAAAGTGGATCTGAACTTTCTTATATTCTAGTACTAAGTTCTGAAGAAAAATAAAAACAAAGACCTTTCGTAACCGCAAAGACTTATATCTTAGAGAACAGTGTATCCTTTTCACGCTGTTCTCTATCATCAATGACCCTTCCTCTTCTCCTTATTTGAAAGATAGGTTTCAGTTTTTTAAAGACTTCCATTCCCGTAATCTTCGGTCATCACACAATCTCCTCCTCGTAACCCCACCACATCATTCGGGATTTATGACCATTTCCCATTTCTTTTACTATCAAGACTATCAGCCTTTGGAATAAAATCCCTGTAGATCTACGCAGAGCATCTAGTAAAAATATTTTTAAAAGAAAACGAAAAACGAAACGACGAAACTGCTTCTGTCACTACAATCTTAGGGTACCATAAGGACCCAAGAAAGACCCACATGGGCTGGATTCTGTTTATACACATTTTAGTTGACTGGTCGATCAGTTTTTTCTATATGTTTAGATAAGAAATAATTTCCATCGTGCCGTCTCGCCTCAAGTGTTGTTACTGGACTGTAGGTATACTGTATGTGGACATGGGCATGGGCAGTCGTGTAAAAAAGTGTTGAATTATTTATAATTATTAATAATGTATACAATTATATTATATCCCACATCCCTACTAGATAGAGTGAATACCTCAAATGTATTAAGGGAGTCAATGAATACAGGTAACTCGAGACCGTTCCTTATAGCAGTTTATGGGGAAAATGCCAACTGCAGTTAAGTTTTGACGATGTTTTAAAAGGGACGCTACAACCCGTGCCTCTACTATTAAGTAAAATAAAATACAAATTTGTAATTGTAAAATCAACTTTAACAATTTTAAAATGCTTATAATGAAATTTCAATAAAAACATATTCTTTTTCTATAGAGAGAGATAAAAATTATTTACAATCAAGGTCTGTCTACACCACCCTAATTTGCTATATTTCTATATTACAATAATAATATATAGTGCAAATTTTAATGAGCATAATACACTGAAACGATTTTCATTAAACAGGGACGTGTTTCATTAAAATGCCATAAAAATCATTAATAATGCCAAGTCAACGGCCGCGTACAATACAGATGGCTTATTTTATTTATTTTACAAGTCTAATTATATCAATGAATCGGGAATTCGCAATAATGATTGATGAGTAAGGGCGTATGCACACTCGACATAATGTTCTTTATGAATGTCGCTCCCTTTTGGAAGTCGTTCACATTCTGCGTAACTATAAAATTTAAAATTAGATCTAGAAAAAAGGGTAGTAAGCTATCTTGTAAGGGCGAATTTGTATTCTGTTCTATTTTAAATTTAATGAAAAAATATCTAAATTTTGTTGAAACTATCAAAGAAATCCTTACAAGTTCTTACTACTATTGTAAATGTGAAAGTAACTTTGTTTGTATGTTTATTACCTCTTAGCGCCTTAGGGGCCTAACCAATAAAACTTATGGTATACCCGTACTATATGGAATGGAAAAAGGCATAGGCTACCTTTTACCTCGGTCAATTAACATATCCCGGTCACGTGATCGAAGTTACGGATAAAAGCTAATACTTACTAAACACTAAATAAATTAATAAATTAATTATATATAAAAAATAATAAATAAATTAAAGTGAAAAATCTAAATATTCAATCGACTAATCGATTTTTCATTGGAACTTTTATCTCGGCATCGTCATACTCTTAGTCAACTCAATTATTGGTTACTTTACATTTTCATTAAATTCTACTAAAACAGTCTATAGTAAGTGTATTTTTTATTGCTTTAATCTCATTCGGAATTCATTTATAATTCGATTCGCATCACAGTGCTCAGAGCCCTAAGTGCGCAGGTGCTGTATCCATCATATTCACAACAATGTTAATTTGACAACACCCGTCCGCGGCGGGTTCGAGTCCCGTCCTTATTTCATGATTTTGAACCAATTTCCCGAACATTACAGCGATATTATATTGGTACTAGATTTAATTCCCAGCTTCACTTACATTATTTATGACAAAAGTAATTACAATAATAAATCAATTCTACACAAGAAAGATATAATACTTAATTTAAAACGCTATTTTTTCTAATAATTATAAAGAAAGAAAAATATGTTTATTATTACATATAAGTTTTATATAAAACATTAAAATAAGTGTAAATTCGATATTATTTTATCAGAATAAAATTTCAAAAACTTGAGAGGTATTAGAATCGATTCTGAGGTTCTATCATTCTTTTAATTTATCTCTAAAATTACTATTTTTATTCGATAGTTTAGAATAATTATTACGGTATGGACCATCGATAATTAAATGTAGTTCCAACGCAATTCTACTAAAAAAAAAAACAATTTTACTGGTCCTTAGAATAATTATGTAGCTAAAAAATGTTACATCAGGATCAATTAACTAAAATCTTAATAATTAATAAATATATAAATAAAATATGT